ACACACACACACACACACACACACACACACACACACACACACACACAGTACATACATGTATATTGGAGCTCCCAGTGCTTGATGATGATGAGGTTTTACTTCAGACTGAGCTCTCTGTTGTGGGTTTCCTCAGCCCTGTGGAGTTAACCTCGATTCCCTCTGTCCTCTAATCACGTACTTGGGTTTGTCCCAGAAGAGAGGCCGAGGCTGAGAGGCCTCTCTCTCACACACACACACACACACACACACACACATTACTTTACAACCACCTCTAGAGATCACATTCACTGTGTGCACACATGCACTTGCTTCAGAACATTACAAGAGTGCCCTTCCCATACCTACCACTAACTATGTGTTTTAAGGGTTCGCTATATATATATATGGAAGGAGAGGTGGAGTCTGTTATTTTGGGCCTTTTATACCAGGAAGGAAGAGTTTGGGTAAAGTCTGACATGGCAGAACTGCTTTCAGATGGAGAATTGTTTCAAGGGGAACAAATTAGAATCCCATCTATTTCTCACCCTCAGATAAACAACAAGGCCTGTGGGACAGTGGCCGTGCCTCTGCAGGTGTCCAAAGACTGTGAGCGGGTGCAGCAGCTCATCGTGGAGAGTCCGTTTGGACGGAAGCTTCTTGGCGACCGCAGCATCAAGAGAGCCATCCTCTCCCCCAGGACTGCCCTCATCAACTTCCTCGTTGACGAGTGATATTTGGGCATTCAACGCTACTTTTGTATCTTCTAGATGGTTGTGAACAACTGTCAATCATTGACTCAAAGAGAGAGAGACAAAAGAGGTGGACTTTTATATTAAGACAAAGGGAATGTCTGTTTATATTAACTGTCACAAATTCAATGTAAATATGTCTAAAAGATATTTTATTTATACTTTGCTGTTGTGGGGTTTCTTCTCTTTAAATTGAGAGAGATTAGGCACCTGTCTCTGTCAGATCATCCTCCCGTTTAGTCAGACCCGCTTGACAATAAGCCCAAACACCACTTCAGATTACAGTCTTCCATCAGAGTCCTCCTTTCTCCATTAACGCCACTTTCAGCATCGCACCCAGGACCACAACTTCACACCTCTCCGTCTCCCATCTGCCTAATGTCTCATCTGAGTCACTCAGTCCAGATCTGCCTCATCGGCGTTTGTCTCTCTGCTGCTGCTTTTAGCCGCTGATCTCTTCTGACCGCCATACACGGATACACGTTTGGCTTCTGGACCTGCCACTGTGCTCTGTGAACCCCGTCGCCATCACCGGGCGTATTGTGGGTCACTGAAGAGCCTCATGTGGATTGGGATTTTGTAGCTTCCCACTATTTCGTGGCTGCACTGTGCTTATTAATCAGCGTGGCGTCTCTGTCTCAGCATTGGGTCAACATGAGTCAGACATCAGCACTGAAATGTATCCATGTGCACGCCCACTGGCCTATCTTTAATGGCTTGGTGAGTAAGCACTTCTTTGATATGTGGTAGCACTCGCAGTGCCCACGTTGCCTGTAAACCAAGATTTTCAGTAGCTGCTGAACAAAAGCGTCATATTTTGTCTGGGATCAGTGTGTGAATGAAGATAAAGGAATGTGAACTCTTTGAAAAGTGAGATATGCGTGTCAGTGTCGCAAGGTCGGCTTCCGTTTGAAGAAGTGCTGTTATTTTTATAGTGTAAGATGGTCAGCTTGTGACTGATACAAATCATGCTGTATCACATTATGTGAGGTGATAGAGGGTTTGCTTTTCTTACAAACATGATGAATAAACAAAAAGTTGTGGACAGAACAAAAAACAGAACATTCATTGCTGATCCCCCGCCCTAACTTTTTTGTCTATATTTCTATGCTCCATCTCTGACCATCGGGTGACAGGAAAAGGCTCACAGGAGAGAAAGAATAACAGGAAGAGAAACCAGGAATAAGAAGAGGGGAGCAAAAAGCCAACGCTGCGTTAGTTATTCTCTGTATTGTCTCGGATTCTGTGAATTTGATCTCTACCAGATGCTGCAACAGCACAAGACAGCAAGCACTAGACAAAGAGAGAGGGGTATTTTGTCTTCCGACACAATTTTTGTGAGCCTTGTTTTCTTTCACGCTGGCTGTATATAATATATAAATAATTGTGTCAGGTATTATTTTCCCACCTTCCCTTCCACTGCTACTAACACCAGCTAATAAACAGGTCTGAAGTGGCCCGAACAGTAAGCTAAAGCTGCCATGTCATTGAAAAGATAAACATTGTAGTCACTTCAGATCGGTCAGAAATAGCCAGCAACATATCTACAGACTGATATTACCTTGGCTTTGAATAAATGGATAAGTAGCAACCTACTTAACAGTGTAATTCAACCAAAGGAGGTCTGAGCTGAACCGATGCATTTCCTCTAATATGTAATTTCGTCACTTCAATAACAGCCTGTGGAGTCCAAAACCCTCTGAACACCAAGAACACATAGTTCAATGAATATAGCGCGTAGAGCCTCCATAGAGATGCATGGCTTATACATTGCAGTGAAAAAAAAACAACGAGGCCACAGAGTCTAAAATGTGACCAGAGTCTAAAATGTGACCGGAGCCCAAAAACGTCCCAAAACTGCTCAAGGTTCAGAGGGTTAACACTTTTTTGTCAGCTCTGCAGTTTCCATGACGACTAGGATTATTGAATAGTCAACAGAATTGCACTATGACTCACTTTCTCTCCTGACCACGGCCGTTGTCTCTCTCTTACACATGGGATGTAAGTTACAGCATGAATTGTCTTTGCTGAGTTAAAGGAAATCCCTTCTTCTTGAGAAACTGCACAGTGGAAATAAAAAGGGTGGTGTGCACACAGCAGTCACAGTCACCCTCCAGTGCACCGGTTGAGTCCCTGGACTGGGCCGTCGATGCTCTCGGGGGGGGGGGGGGGACGTAGTAATGCTGCAGCTCATTATCTTAGAGGCTGACCTCAATGCTGGTAATTTGGTCATCCAAGGACTTTTTTTTTGTGTGTGTGAGCTCAATGTACCAGCAGATTTTCCACTAATCCCTTTTATTGTTTTGGGGATACAGCTAAACACTTGGCATGTATGTGAAGGCACCACGCTTAAAAACAAAGTTATTCATTTATTTACTGTACATCTCCATAGATACAGCCTGTTAGTCATTTGGACCTTTTCGGAATGAAAATAAGCTTTTTATCTGCCGGAGCTGTTAAATCCGTTAATGTCAATCCATCCAGAACATCTGTTTTAAAGCACTTGTAAAACACACAGTGAGTGGACATATCGTACCCAAATCTGCAGCTGCTTCAAAGTTGAAGCCTTTTAAAGTAAATGTCAACAGCAGCTACACTATTTGTATTTGACTCAAATTTTGCAATTGCAGAAAATATGCAAAAGCCTGTATAACAAACTCCTAATCAGCAGTCTAATGAGATGGTGCTGCACTTGTACAGATTGTAAAAAAACTCTGGGATAAAGTGATTTAATAGATACAACTGACTTGACTCCTTATTTCCTACATGACAGCAACAGACGCCCCTACGCTGTGTGAATAAGGCTTTGTATGCCTCAAGAAATATTACTGTAAAAATTGATAGACTTGATAAATTCCAGAAAATATTGTGAATGTTTTTGCCTTTACTGCCCATCCCTGAAGATCTGTTATTAAAAAGGAATGTGTGGAGGGTTTGACTTTACCGGGAAATGAAGTTCTTCTCTGTATCATTCTAATTGTTCCCCTTTAATGAGGCGCTAATGACACAAACCATACAATTAACATAATTGCTGAAACCAAATAATCTCAAGTTTTCCCAAAACCCCCTGCTGCTGTTACCACATGTTTGAACTAACCTTTAACCAACACCAGCAGATAATATACAGGAAGTAGTTTGCAAAACACATGAGCACTTTAATGTTGAAGATGTCCCACAAAGATGTCCAAACAGTTTTACATTTGAAATCACTGTCAATCCCTCAATATAGTCAAGAGCGCTTACTGATACTTGTTCAAATGTATCTTACGGTCATGAACATTATAAATAGCATATATGCGTTCATCTTTGCTGCAATGACAAATGTCTCTTAGATGTGTGTTAGTTTGTAAATGCAAATACTACACAACTTTAAAGATCCTGCTCCACTTATTCAAATACTGACTTCTCTGTGAATAACACAAATGTATAAGTGAACAAGGTCTCTGCGTGCTTTACTACAATAATACCCGTGGCTGTTTCTAGTGGATATGTGTTTCTAGAAAATATGTGTCGAAAAGCAAGTTAATCCTATATACATAGCTTCAAGGAAATGCTGCATTATGGTGACCGTTTTCCTACCTGCATGGTCGGTCCTTATAAACCTTGTGTTTTAATTACACCACCAGCAGCAGCAGCAGCCTAAATGAACTCTCAACATACTGGCTCCATATTTTTTTCACATCAGGGCTGTTAGACTATGTATGCACATCCAGGCCACATCCCGGACACAAATAAGATGTGATCCTGTGTTTGCTGGGAAGTTGTGCCTTTCCCCCCCCCCAAACACATGAGTTCATCCTATTGTACCACAACTCTGTCTCATATATTCCAGCCAGGGTCAGGACAAAGTGTAGAGGGGTCAGTGTGTGTGTGTGTGTGTGTGTGTGTGTGTGTGTGTGTGTGTGTGTGTCATGAGCAGGAATGTGTGACGTCATTCAACCAAAACAGGGGGCACAAGCACTGTAAATAGCCCCCCTTAACCACACAAAAAACACCCATACAGTAGTTTTATGGGTTTACTCCACTACATAAATTGTTTATGAGATGCTGGGAACTTTAAAAAGTTGTGTCGGAGTGCCCCCAGCCTTCCTGTATGTATTCTGAAATAATGTATCCTAAAAATAATGACCCATCCCCCATTTGCTTTACTTTATGTTTCCTCCTCCTAAACCAACAAGCAGTGCTAGAAGAAGTATCCATAACCTTTAAATTAGGAGGAAAAATAGCTATATCACACTGTAGAAACACTCCATTAGGCGAGATTTAAAAGCTCTGCATTGAAAGTGTTGCTTAGATAATATGTAAGTTGGCCTATTATAATAAAATGTACTTGGACTGTGATCATTAAAAGTTCTCAATGCATAAAAATGGCTAAATAGTAAGCATAAGTGTTATACTATCATATATTAGAATAGTGATGCATTGAAGTTAGTGGAGCCAATTTAAAGCAGCATGTGGCCATTGTTTGTTGGGTAGTTTCATATTTTAGTTTTGTAAGCTATGTACAATCTTAATAAAGTTCCTAACTGTCAAATAGCCGTGAAGTGGAGTAAAACGTGGCTACTACAGTTTTTCTCACACTCCCTGTTCAGCCCTTTAACTCCATGGAGCATTGGGAAAATGCTGAAGTGTTTTGCTGACTCAAATAGCAGCGACTGAGTCAACTCTGCATATTTATATAACAATAACACCGGATGTAAGGGAGCGGATGCATATCTGCCCCCAGGTTATTTTAATACGAGACACAGTTGGTAATAAGCTAACATTAAGCCGACTGTATGTTTATTGATACCAGCACTGATCTCAAACTCAACGTTTACTCGCGGCTCAATTTGCGCACTGCACCTTTAAAAACAAACCGTTCCCTGCGTTCAGTCCCGACGGTCGACCCGGTCGGCCACGTACGGCTCTGTGCTTCAACGGTACTCCCAAGGTCCGGTCGTTAACGGTAGACGACTTCTACCGGTCACCCGTCGCGACTTTAACGACATATTAGCGAGTTGGGACTACTTTGAAGTACTTTTTTTTTTTTTCTCGACAGAGATGCGGAGGACATAGTTTTTGAATGAGGGTTCCCCGCTGGGACTGTAAAGCGGGAGGAGGGGGCAGTCCGCGGGGTCGTGCAGGCTATCTGATCTGGGATCTGCTCACTTTTATAACCAGACAGACGGCGGCTTGTTCGAGGCAGAGCTGAGCTCGGACGGTTTCTCCGAGGAGGACGCGGAGTCTTCGACTTTTCGTATTCTTTACGCAGGACACCAATAAGAAGGGGGGAAGTTTGGAAGAAGAGAAAAGTTTCACCCTCGTCTCCTGCCAAGACCACGAGCGGCTGGAGTTGTAAGCTAATAATTCACTCTGGATATATCACTCTTTTAGACTTTAACCGTGAATATATAACTACTTGTTACTTTACTTCATTGAAGCAGACACACCAAGTATCAGCAACATGGATAAATACGAGGATTTAGGACTCGAGGCGAGTAAGTTTATCGAGGACCTGAACATGTACGAAGCATCCAGAGACGGCTTGTTTCGGATGAGGAGGGATGCGGGAAATAACCCCGACTTTGAGGAGACGAGAAGAGTTTTTGCCACTAAAATGAGTAAAATACACATGCAGAAACAGCAAGAGGAGATGGCGAAAAACACCCAGGCCATGAAAATGAACGGGGCCCACAACAGCACGTACTACACCAAAGACAGACCACCCATCAATAGTTACAAGCAACCACCGTGCGAAGCGGCCGCGAAGCCCCCGATGCTCTCTGGCCCCGTGCCGGCCACCACGGCTGGGACTCAGTACGCACCGTTTGACGGCCAGAAACACCACACGGGCGTTCAGTCTGAACCTCCAGCAGGCAGGGCGTATGGCTACGGAAACAATTACGATAATAAGGAGCCGCATTCATACCAGCACAACACCGCTACTACTCCCCCCAGCCCAGGAAACGCGTCTCTCAGCGCGCCCACACACGCTCGTTACCCGGTCAGCCAGCCGGCTGCCTGGGCCTCATCCAGAGACAGCCAGCTATCTACATCTTCGTCTGGGTCTGGAGGCAGCAGCAGCTCGTCTAACCCTAACCCTCAGCGTCAGTCTGCACCTCCCACCGCCAACAGTCTTCCACCCCAGCAGATTCAGGCTGTCACCCCGTCTCTAAACCTGAGTCCACCCAGGGGATGGGCTGGAGAGGCCCCTGGCTCAGCTAAACCTGACTTCATAACTGCCCTGCCTCTGAGTGCCTTCACAGCAGGAGCTGACCATTACGCACCATCTTCTCCAACCTCGAGGCCCTCCACCAGCCACAATGGTGCTCTGGCGGCGTCCTTGCTCCTACCTGAACCTTTTGAAACACCTCTACCCAAAGCCCAGTTGGCATCTGCTGCCTTGATTCCTGGCAATGTGTCCAAGAGCAGCAGCCAGGGTCAAGGCCGGGGCCAGATACCGGTCTGTGGACACGCCGTTGGTGCTGAAGCTGAAATGCTTTGCCCCTCCAAGCCTGTTCCACTACCCTGTCAGCCTCTCCTCGCACAGACCCCCGAACAGGGGCCTTCAGCAGCTGAAATAAAGTTAGAAGCGCTCACCAATCGACTGGAAAAGGAGATGGATGCCCAACCAAAGGCTGACTACTTTGGTAAGACAGTTTAAACTATCCAAATTCAACAAGGGGCTTCTGTCAGTGTAAGAACTGCCCACCCACAGTTCACAACATGAATCCACTTGTTTTTGATTTCATATTTACATGCACACACTCTCACCCTTTGTCGCCCTTCTTCTGTGTTTCCCTTACACACAGACACACACATTTATTCTGTGTGTGTCTGTGTCGTGGTTGTGAGTGCAACCCAACTGTCAAGAGTCTTTGTTTTGGTGGCATTCCTGATGGTCTTTGCTGATAAAATAGCTAAACTTATGCAGGCAAAGCTTCTCTTTTTTTATTCTGTGGAATGCAGACAGAATCATTTCCATTTTTTTAAATGATTCCTTGTCTGTCCACTTGGCAGCTGAAACAAACCCTTCAGCAGTAAAAGAAGTGGGGCCAAGGTCAGACAGAAGAATGTTGCCCCCCATCTCCTACGAGACAACATCCACGACAAACTCATTAGCTAGACCTTGATCACTTCCGTCAGCTCTGTGACAGTTTTAATGTTAGTTCACATGTAGAGTTTGTTTGACTAGCAGTAGCATTGGCACATCATATCATCACAGATCTGTGCTTGGCTCTTTGTGAGCAACACCTGTGATGGTTCGTTCTGGTATTTGGGGGCCCACTAGGAACAAGGAACCATGGCTGTTGTGTTATGATAAAGAAGACGACACATTTATCATGAAGATCATTTCTTGCTTGTGAAGTTTTATGATCTAGTACCCTTGTATTTGTTGGAATTATACGCATTTCAGATTCCTCATATTACATTAAAAAAGGAGTAAAGTCTTGCAGCTAAAATGATAACCAATACACAAGGTCACTGGGTGGGATGGGTTGCATGAGAATGTCCATCATCAGCAGAATGCTCTGGTTCCTGATTCCTCTTATCATTGCTTGTAGCGCTCTAGCTGCTCTATGTGGGCCGTAGGAGCGCTACCAGGAAATGAATGCACCATTGAGAGAACACATGCTTTGCTGTGAGGTCAGCTGAAAGACTGTAGTAGATGCACAGTGAACAGGTGAGGTGTGCTGTATGTTGTTGGGATTGTGTTCGTCTCAGAGGAAGCCAGTGCTCACATGTTAGCCAGGCATTGTAAACGGGATGTCCCCCTATGTCCCCCCCGGTGTGCGTATATTGGTGTGTAAGGGAAGATGTTACGGCACACGTCACTGTCACGACGAGGCTCACAAATGGCACAGTGATGTGTGGGAGAGCACAGTGTGCATTCAGCTCAAGTGTAGGTTTGAAGTAATATAATATAGACCTTTTGTTTCACACGCGTTCCCACATAGACGTGGCCCACACATGGCTCCTGTGTGGAGTTTTCCACTAGACCGAGGCTCGTCCTCTGAGTCATGCTTTTAATGCCAGAAGAAAAACTCATCGTGGAAGACCTTCTGAGCCGTGAATACAATATGTATATTCTGTTAAGCACCTTTAGTGTACTGTCATATTTGTACATCCCGTTGTGTTAGAAGGTTTGTCAGGTTAAAGCTAAGGTTTGTTTGAACATAATGTGCCTCTAAAAGTCTGATTGGCAAAATTACAGCTGGAGGTTCTGGGAAAGTGAGTCCAGTGCCAAAGCGGCTGCACCGGGGGGAACACTGAGGAATGTCTGAAGGAAGAGAGCAAAGAATTTTAGATATGAGGTCTTAGGATACAAAGAGGAGGGGAGTCCCAGTCAAGGTTAGAAGCGTCTGCCATGTTGAATGGATGAGTAGACGAACACAGATTTAGGAACACGTTGGTAAGATGCTTCTTTGTGCTCGCCCACAAGAGCCTGAAAGGATATGAGATTTATAGACAAGTTCATTCGAGAGGGGAGAAGTGGTGGGACGTCCCAGGGTTCTGCCCCCCCCTCTTCCTCTGACTTTCACACACACACACACACACACACACACACACACACACATGCCCATTCAGTTAAGCATTTACTGTTGTGTTAAGATGGAGGATTAATTTATCCCATCTGGCTGTTGAGTGGAAAACTTTGTCAGAACTCTTCCCAGGGATTCTTGGCTTGTGCTCTGGCAGGCATTTGGAGACTTTCTTTAGTGTGTGTGTGTGTGTGTGTGTGTGTGTGTGTGTGTGTGTGTGTGTGTGTGTGTGTGTGTGTGTGTGAGTGATAGATATCCTGTCATGCGTATCAGTGCGTCTGTTTGTCTATCAATATACGGCCTATATGGTGTCTGTGTGTGCTGTGGTAAAAGTTTGATAATGATGCCATAGTGACTCAGCCTTCAGCACATTTCAGTGACTGAGAGTACAATGTACATACGTTTGCTACTTTAGAAGTTGCATTTATTATAGCATGTGGTGGACACGTTATAGACGGAGTTTAGTCCATTTCAAGTTATTCTTAAAAATCAGATTACTTATGGGTCATTGGTTGATTTGCTGCTTTTCATATTTTCATCATGTTGTGGATGTGTCGTGTATGAATCTGAACCTTTGGGGCTAACTGTAGAAGTGATAACACTCAACAGCTGCTACAATGTGTAGCACGGGTCCCTTTAGGCAGTTAGTGGTGTGTTGGCCAGTGAGCGGCCGTCTACTGGCAGTTTTGACAACTGGGAAAGGTGTGTGTGTGGGGGGGGGGTGGATAGGTGGGGTGCAGTGCAGTGTTGGCGTGTTTTGCTTCCCCTCCTCCCTCCTGAAGCAGGCAGTCAGTCTCCTGGATAATCACGCTGTTTAGGAATATGGGACTCTGGCCAAAGACAGATTTGTGGCGGTCCAAACTATGAAAACAAGGATTATTTTTGGTCCCAAACAGGAAAAGAGTGAATGGACCTTTACTGCAATTCTGTTCACATGGAGCATACGAATCAAAGCTATAAAGAAAGTAAGGAAAAAAATCTCCTTGCCCACTGAAAGATCTCAAAAAAGTCCTGAAAAAGTGTGTGTTCCTGTTTGTTCTCTGACATGTTTACAGAAGACAAGCAGAGAATGTGATTTGAAGGACCTTCACTCATTCATTCTTTTCACACCTTCACGATAAGTTCACTAGTTTGAGGGGAATGAATACTTTATTGTGTTTTCATGTAAACAAATAGCTTACATATGATCCACATTCTTCTGCTCTCTAATAATATCCCTCTATTATCTCTAAATCTTCTTTCCAGCCTTTGGGGCCCCCGATGATGTGTCCTTTGTTGTGGCATTGGGAGAGGCTTTAGCTGAATTATATATAACCCTGTTGTATATTGCATTACTGAGCGTCTAAGAACAGAAACATTTGAAGGTTATTAAATGTAACAGTGTGTTTTTGGGGGAGGCAGCCGCGTGATAAGTTACGCGTGTTAGATACAGTGAAAACAGAAGTTTCTTTGTCAGTGCTCTAGCAGGACCTGGGCCGGGCTCTTCTGCTGAGCTCTATTTCTTTATAAAAACAACTCACACACACACAACATCATGCACACACATCTTCACTCTAAAAGAGAAGCTTGAGGTCTTGCTTCCATCGGTGCCATTGCCCTCTGCTACTTAAAGTAGATACTTGATGATTGGAAGGTCATATCATACTGTATCTGATTGATTCAGCAGCTAGCTGACGACCCGTTGCGGTCGCTGTTCACGGTCTGTGTGCCAGTCGTCATATCGCTCCATGCCGTAGAGTGCGCGCTCAGAGGGAAAGATGGAGATTGGCAAGGAATGGGTGCAAAGAAAGATGATATTTCCATGCCAGGTCTCAGGAAAGTAGTGTTGCATAAGCAAAAAATAGTTGTGTATTAATCACATGGAAACCCTGTGTTTTTGATGAGTGGTCCAAAGTCCAAGGAGAGATTATATAATGTTGCATGGCATGCTCTCATGTGATTTGCTTTCAGGTCTTTTGGGCTTTTATCTTTTCTTTCTTTGTATTTTCTTCTTCTTTTTCACGTTGTGGATGAGTGGATGGATTCATATTGAGTCGACTCCAGTGTCTTGATATCAAGCCACATTGAATGGGTGTGTAGTTCGGTTCAGAACATTTAGATTTTGATCAAAGTTTTTATGACCAGACTTTTCGGTCTCTGAGCCAAGTCAAATAAGCAAATGGGGATATATTTCCCCTCTCAGTGACACAGCCCAGGACCCAGCTTCCTGACTTTTTGAAGTGATGTTTTTTCTTTGTCTCCATTGTTTTTGTCTGGATTAATCTGGATCACAGCGTCTCTTCATTCCCCTTTATCGTGATACAATAGACGTGTTTCAGTTTATATCTCAGGTTTAGTAGTCATTTGGTTGGGTCGACGTACCGTGTCTGCATCAAAATGTTAATGCAATGCATAAGCGGCTTAAATGTGTGCCTCCCTGTGACTTTCCTGACGTGGTCATATGCTGTGTTGTGTTCCAGGCGTCTGTGTTAAGTGCAACAAGGCGGTGTATGGAGCCAGCCAGGCCTGCCAAGCTATGGGAAGCCTCTACCATGACAGCTGCTTCACCTGCAGCGCCTGCAGTAAGTACACACAGACAGCGTACCTTCACTGACACTTTCACCTGCTCGTGTCTCCTCCCGACTAATCGGCTGCCAAAGAACCCGTCCTCTTGATTAAAAGCTGTTCCTTCTTCCTCAGTCAGTCGCTGCTCCCGAGCAGAAACCAACAATTATTTTGGGATTACTGTCCTGTGCTTACTGGTGTTTGGTTTCTGGGTGTGCCAGTCACTCCTCCAGCCCACACAAAGACACGCGGAGCGAGACTCTCTGCCGACCTGAGTTAACCACCAGTCAATAAAACTACCTTTAGTAGAGTTAGATAGACTGTATGCCGGGTGTCAGTCGAGGCTCATCACCCTGGCGGCTCTGTCCGACGTATGTGTGACCTGTAGTTTCCTGACTGGACAGCCGCGCCCCTCCCTAGTGGAAGAACGACCTGGCTTTGTGCTCCAACCAATTAAAATCTTTGTCCCAATTATAAGATGGGTATGTGGAGGATGTGAGGCACTGTGGTGACCTCCACTCAGGCTTATTATTCTGCAGCACCTTTGACCTTGCTGCTTACGCCCCCAAATATATGATTAACATCGCCGTGTTTTCTTTTACCCCTCGTCCTGTGTGTGTGTTTATACGTGTGTGTGTGAGAGCGAGGAGATGAAAAAGGGGAGACATGGGGGGGGGGGGGGGTTTTACTCAACACATACCTCTCATACCTTGCTCCATGTGAGAGCACAAGGGTTGTGCTCGCTGTGAGTAGTGGCCCCCAGGGAAAAGCATCTCAGCTGGGGTGGGGGGGTTGCAGGCATAGGGGCCGTCAGTAGGTCCGGCTCCAGGAGGACACTGGCTGCTGTTATGTCAGCTGAGTGGGGAGGACAGTGTGGGACAGGGAGGCCATTCAGTGAGAGCACAGCCCACTCAGCCAGCAGGCAGGGGCACGCTGACACATGCGTGTAGTCATGGCTGTGCCCACGCAGTAAACGGCACAATGCAGTTGAATATACAGAGCCTGTATACTAAGCATCCCTTCTCATCTTCCTCCAGAGTCAGTATGTCAAGAAATCTGTCATTCTCTGTGGAGTTGCCCCCCCCCCCCCAGTTCCTCTGAGGTGACTGAGTGGAGAACATTCAGGCCGCATGTCTGGGATTCAGTACTCTGGGCTTCCCTCCAGGCTAGTCATCGACTGAATACAAACAACCCGACTCCAGTTGGAGATTAAGCTCAAGTTTGTAATCAGGGGAACTAGTTTACACATTAGCCAGCTCAAATAATAATATAAGTACAAAATAAAGCAATTGCCTCTCCTTATATGAGACTCTGATATTCTTTCCAGTATATTTATTGTTTTTAAGGAACAGTGGTACACAGACCCCCTGTCAGATTCTGCTTTCATGATATCAGGCGCTTACTACAGCCAGTCGTCAGGCTTTGGAGAATACAAACAAGGATCTGATTGGTACATTGTGTGCTAACATCTGGTGGGTCAGCACCTTGACCAAACACCCCAGGTGCTGTTCACAGTCAGAGAAATGCATTCAGACTACCAAAAAGCACTTCTTCTAAATGCAGGAAAGATTAAACATACGTAGTTATCTTTAGCAGGGCAGGAGGTGAGACTTAATCTCATAGAACAGAGTCTACTAATGTGAAATTTGTATATTTGGTATACGTTGCTTTTTTTTTTTTTTGCCAATTTACTCGCAGGAAAGAACAGGGTTGAGTCCCTATTAGGAGGACACGGCAGAGTAATTGTAAATTTCTTAGTTTCTGAATGGAAAGAAATTCATAGAGTATTTTAATTAGAAAATGGCCTTGTGTTGTGTTCAGTCCCTCAGGTATTTTACATTTTTATGAAAGCGCAACAGTCGCAGTTCTTTTCAAATAGTCAGTCCTGACTCCTGACTTTAATTAAGCTCTTATCTCTCCGGAAAGCTCAGAGCCTTCCCTCTCTGACTCACTGGGAAAGAAGACTGTGAGGAGGAGGAGGGATGGCCCATATCTCACTTCCTCCTTCCCCCTTCAGGGACACAGTGCCAGGACTGTCTTCAGTAATTGCCCGAGGCCAGCCTCACACCTTGGCCCGATCACAATGACTCGTCTCCTCTTAAGTTAGTTATTGCGTTAGCCGCGGCCACATCTTGCTTGCATGACCATTATCATTCTATGAAGTAAGTTAATGTAGTTATGAACAGCTGGTTCAGAGAATGGCATGTGCCATTGATGTAAAAAATGAATCGCAAGGTTTCAGTTAATTTCTTTGTTTCAGTTTTCTACTTCGTTGTTGCCTCTTATTCTGTGTGTAGTTCAGGCTTTTTTCAATCAAAATATTACAGCGGTATAGTAAACTATTTAGGGATAAGATAACCATACAGGTCTGCTTTTAGCTAATACAGCAAATCAAAGTGCTTCATCACATGGATGCAAATAGATAAAGCTCTAATAAAGCCCAATAATATTAAAATGTCCTTTACTGGGCTTATGCCTTCAGCTGCATTTCCTCTCATCTTAAGAAGGAAACTGTGAAATAGTGGCTAAATGACTGTGTGAGACTATCTGGATACAAACATTCAGGTAAACAGAGCGTGGGAGATAAAGAAGGTTCCTGTTCACCAAGGTTAACCGCCTCGTCTCCTCTGCTGTCCCCTCCTTCACCTCCACACTCACAACACGTCAGGAATGTTTCCTCTTCCTGTGGGACCTGGTCAAGTATAGCTATGTGAAGTGGTTTTGCTGTGTGTGTGTGTGTGTGTGTGTGTGTGTGTGTGTGTGTGTGTGTGTGCGTGTGCGCGTGTGCGCGTGCTTGTGTGTGTGTGTGCTGCGATAAGAAGCCAGCTCCAGACCATCGACCTATTAAAGCACACAGAGAGACAGGAAGCATACCAGGCATGTGGAAAGACACCAGAAAGGAACAAAGAAGAAGAATAGCAGGTGGTTGCAGGTCTTGGCCTGTGGTTGCCGTGAAATCCAATAAAGCAGAGTGTTCAATCTGTTGCACCTGTCCACTAATTGAATTTAATTGGCATTTTTACCCTCACGTGTTTGATGCAGATGTGTTCCTTGTCCGACTGCAACACACTCTGTGCCCCAGCAATATTAAATGAAGACACCAGCACACCAAAGATCCATTTGTTTGATTTATCTGCCCGGAATTCAGCAAGATAGAATGAATATTGCAAGAGGGTCCATTACCTTCCAACGGGTGTAATTAATCACCGCGGCCTTTATGCATTAGCGCTCTAACTATTTTCTGGGACTGGCCTCATCTCATAGCTTTGCAAGATTTTCCAGTAAGATAATTCCACATTCTATCGTTGACTTACCTTTTCTCGTCTGCTTTAATCTACTTATTGTAATTCAATGACAGGAATACGTTTTGTTTTTTTCTCAGAGTACCAGGTGCTGCTGTGTTTCGCTCTAATGAAATGATACAGATGGACTACTCTGTGTCTGTTGCTGCAGGTCGGAGGCTGAGAGGGAAGGCGTTCTACTATGTCGGAGGGAGGGTTTTCTGTGAAGAGGACTTTCTGGTGAGCAGTCAACACACAATCTATATTTTGTATACCTCCACTGAGGTATGTGGCATCTTGTGACATTTGTTGCATTACGGTGAGATGACACACAGTACCTTTCTCATGCTGCGCTGCATCCAGTCAACATCTCG